GACCTGCCCGCGGCGCCGCGCGCCGGCCCGAGCCCGTCCCGTCCCCCGCCAGAGCGCCGGGGAAATAAAGCTTCGCTCAGGCCTAATAAAGCCTTGGCGTTGGCCTAAAACAAAGATTAACTCTAATTCCAAGCACCTTCCTCCAAAGGGCCGTTATTAAAAATTGAGGAATGTAAAAATAGGCGCTGCGAGTGGCGGAACATGCCTACTTGGGGGGCAGTTTCTGCCAAATGAGAGGGATCGGCCAAAGCGATGTGGATTTCAGCCGGTGCGAGGGCTTGCGAGGTCCCTGCCTGGGACGGGGACGGCCGGGAGAGCCGCTTTCCCGGGAGGCGCGAGGGGAGCGTGCGGCACCAGGGAGCACTCGGTTGCTCCGCGCGCTCCGCTCCGCTGGGTGCCCTTCCTGCGGCAGCGGCACCCGGAGGGCCGCGCTCCCAGCCCCGTGTGCCGCTCTGCCACTTTGCCTAGTGTGTTAATTATTTTAACTGCCTTGTTTGCCAGCTTATCTCGCCGCTCAGCCCCAGCCCTGCGCGTCGAACACGCCGCCTTCAGCTTCTCCGAAACCCCAGCCAGTGAAAACTGCTCCCAGGAGCGCCTGCCAGGATGCGGGACACGCGGGGAGCCCCGCGGCACCGTCCTCAGCACCGTCCTCCTCCAGCTCCTTCCGACGCTTTGCAGCATGTTGGAAGTGGCCGCCTGCTCCTGTCTTGTGCCCTTAGGGAGAGCAGAGCGAGTCCAACAAGTTCTGGGCATGGAAAAGCCTCTGGAAAATCTACCTACGGGGTGCTGAATGAGAGGGATAGCATCCTCAGCCCTCCCGAGGCGTCACCCCCTGTCCCCTCCGGACACCACGGAGGTGGCAGACCCGGCGCCCGCAGCTCCTGGCCGCCCGCTCCATTCGCAGGCCCGTCACGGGCTCAGCAGCTCCAGCGCCGGCGGGAAGTGCGCGGGTTTGATCTATAATTTACAGAGCCGCTCGCCCGGGGAGCGGCTGCAGGAGCCTGGGAGAGCGATGCTGCCCTCTTGGCTCACTCCTCGTTTAATTTAAAGAAATATATATATATCTTTTTGGAAAGAGACGGCATCAGTAACCACCAGTGACAGCTGCCATCGCCTCGCTGCCCCTGCCACCACCTGGTGCCCTGCACATCCCCTGCATCCCACCTGCAGCCTCTCCAGGACACAGATGCACCCAAGGGGAACACACAGTGCAGTATGGAGGGACCAAATCCAGACACCCGGGATGCTGGATGTGGCAGGGACAGCCAGAGAACCCCAGCAGCAGGGACAAGTCCCCTTGGGGCGGCAGCGGCCCCACCGTGGGCCCTTGGCCAGCCAGACCTGACGCTCATGGGCAGGTGCCCGGCTCCCACCCGTGCCCAGCGCATCGCCGCTCTCCCTCGCGGGCACATTTACTCGTTAGGGAAGCCGGGATGATGGAGTATCCTGCCCAAGCAGAGGAAGCCAGGCAAAACCTCACCATCCATCAGGACCCCCACTTTCTGCCAAGCGCATTAGGGGATAATTAAGTAAAAATAGGCCTTCCGACCAGTGTAGCTCATTAAGGGCTAATTAAGTTAATTAGTGCCAGGTGTGGATTGCAGCGCTTGCGCGCGTGGCTGTTGTTTGCTGTAATTGCATTTTCTCAGCAGCTTCCTCCACCGGGCTGGAGTGGAGCCAGCGAGCGCCCGCTGTGGGGCTTACGGGCGCTAGGGATGGCACCGTGTCCCTTCCCGGCACTCGCAGCGCCCGCGGCCGTCCCCTCCTCGCCGGGAGCAGGCCCAGGAGCTCGATGGCTGGCGCGGGGCAGCGCCGCATCCTCACGGCTCCCCCTTTCCGGCAGCCGGGATCGTTCCCCGCGCTCCGGAGGCTCCCCGGCTCCTCGGCCCTCTCCCCTTCTCCTTTTGCATAATGGATAGG